TGGCAGGCAGCCTGGTGCTGGGCTGCTCTCCAGGAGCCTCTCCAGCTCCCCGAGGAGGGCTGCTGGTTCCCAAACCCCCGGAAGGAGCCCGCTGTACACCTGCCAAGGTGGCGAGAAGCTGAGTCGAGCAGCCGTGCCCTGGGACCGTGCGGCATCGCTGGTGGCTTCCTAACCTCGTCATGGCAACATTAGCTCCCAGGCCCCATGCAGGAGCTCCCTCTGTCCTGGCACACCCCGGTGGGAGCTCCCCAGCCCCAAATTCGGTGATGGGTGCTGCAGGCCTCTGTGCACTGCCCTCCGCCAGCTCCTGCACTTGTCTCCCAGCCAGCATTCCTGTTCTCTCCCCACCAGCTCTCTCCCAGCCCCTGGGACCCTGTGCTCCAGCGTGGCAAGATGATCCTCCATGGGTGCCCACTCCCCAGCTTGTGCCATGGGTCAGCTCCTATCCCTCACGCAGGGCCAGGATGATGCCAGGCAGCTCTTGCCTGTGGCCTTTCCCACAGAGACTGCCACGTAGGAGGGTGACAGGAGAAGGGAGTGCTCGTGACAGCCCGATTTCTGTCCCCTCTCTGCGTCAGGAGGGCTGAGGAATGAAGCATCAGCTGAGATCTCAGGGTGAGTTTGTCCCTCCCCAGCCAGAGGATGAGTGCTGGGGGGCGAGGGGAGGGGGCTGCCTTGGCAGAGGGAGCTGCTGCCATCAGCAGGAGGAGCCGGCAGAAGGAGAGGGATGGAGCTGTGTGGGCACAGGGAGCGGAGCCAGCGCAGCAGCTTTACGTCAGCTGGGTACCCGTCCCCTACGGCTGCGCTGCCCTGACTCATCGCGTGGACTCCCCAGCCTCCCCGGGAGGGGGGATTCATAGGGACCCCATCCTCACTGCTCAGAGGGCTTGTTGGGGGATAAAGTGGCACACAAGGGTCGTTGCAAGTGCCCTCAGCCCAGCTGGGACTCCCTCAGGTTACCTGGGTTGAGTCACTCCTAATTTTGCAGACCCTCAACTTGGGAAACCTCGATTGCTTTCCCAAGCCCTACACATGTGGGTCTGAGGGAAAGGGCTGTGCTGGGAGAGCTGTGCCCCCACAGTGGGTCTGTGCCCACCCTGCTCAGCCCTGGGGAAACAGGGCTGGTGGCCAGGCGGAGATGGGAGTGGGAAAGGACCGGGATGCTCTAAGCGGGAGCAGTAGCATCCTGCCAGGGCTGGTGCGCATGGCTCCGTCTGCCAGTGGGTCCGGAGGGAATCCCTGGCAAAGCGAGTGCTTCCTACCCCTCCTCCTGGGCTGCTCCGTGCAGAGGCAGGAAAGCTGCTGCTGTGGCAGGGAGGACATTCCCGGCTTCCCAACGTCCCCCTGGGGCTGGCAGAGCCCCGCACAATGTCAACCCCTCTATTTTCAGCTTCCTTTCTCTCGTCTCCAGCCCGGGAGGTGACCCACACAAAGATGTTCTTTTATAGTAAAGGACAGGGCTGTGGGGATGCTGAAGTGAGGAAATGACGGAATTAAAGCATCCCTGGCTCGGGGTGGGTGTTTGCCTCCATCCCTTCCCGCAGGCAGCTCTGCCGGGGCTGGGCGGGGGGATACGGGATGGGCAGCACAGGCACAGGCGGCTGCTCACTCGGGAAGGAAAATGATGCAATCCACAGGAGGCAAACAGCATGGAGATGTCACCAGGACGGTTGTCATGGCAACGCCACCAAAAAATGCCAAACCAAAAAATGCCAAACCAAACAAGGAGCAAAGTCCACTGTTTCCATCCCAGTGGGATGCTGGGGGGTGTGGGAGCAGGTGCTGGTGGGATCTAGGGGCCATGGGGAGCCTGTGGGGGTCCTGCCCTGGCCCCTGCTCGGGCGCAGACCTCTCCTAGAGCCAGGCTGCGGGCGGGTGCCCACCTTCCCCTTTCGAGAGGAAGCATGGCCCCCACGGC